TGAGCACACACACGTATGCATGCATGAAAATAAATAAATACAGTCTTTTCCTGTTTTTCTTAGATAAAAGGTAGCCTATCATATACACTCTGCTACACCTTGGTAGTGTTCTTAATAATAAATCATGGGGATCACTCCACACTAGTTTATAGAGATTTTCCTCATTTTTTTTCAAAAATATCTAAACATCATTTATTTTAGGGATGCACTCTAGTTGTTCAGCCAGGTCCCATTATAGGAAATTTGCAGTGTTTATGATCTGTTGCTCTTGTAAACAGCGTGCTGTTACATGTGACCTTCTCCACTTGTTATTTTGGGTCAAGGTACAGCTTCAGGATGGGTCCTTAGAAGTGGGATCACAGCTCATAGGGTGAATACATGTGTAAATTTACCAGGAATTGCCAAATTTCCATTCTATTTTGTACTCACCCCATTAATGGAAGAGACTGCGTGTTTCTTCACAGCCTAATCAATACGGACTGCTTAAAGAAACTTATGATTTTTCTGATTTGATATGTGAGAAACGATATCTCATTATATTATTTTCATAGCTTTATTGAGAAATTGCTCACACACAGTTAAGCTCACTGACCTTACGTGTACAGCTTGTTGAGTTCTGGCACCACCCACAGTCAAGTTTAGGACTTGTCCCTCACCGAAAAAACTGTTCCTGTGCTCTTGAATCCCTGCCTTTCCCCCAGGCAACCAAGGATGCGCTTTGCACTCCGTTCTTGCACTTTCTAGGTGTCACGTGAGGAGCATCGTGTGGTATATTGTCTTTTGTGTTTGGCTCTTTTCAGTGAGTCTGGCGTGTGTGAGTCATGCATGTGTTGCATGAACTATTAATAGTAGTTCATGAGTTCGTTCCTCTTTGTGGATGACTACGATGCCACTATATGGATGTGCCACGTTTTCTTATCCATTCACCAGTTGGCGACTGTTGTGTTGTTTGTGTGTGTGGGCACGCGTGTGCACGTGTGTGTGTATTTAGAGACAGGGTCTCGCTGTGTTGCCCAGGCTGGTGTAGAACTCCTTGACCTCTCAAAGTGCCGGGATTACAGGCCTGAGCTACTGTGTCTGGGCAGGTTGTTTCCAATTTTAAGGCTATTCCGAGAAAAATACTGCTTCGAACATTGAAGTCTTTGTCTGGACAAGCTTTTGTTTATCTTGGGTAGATCCCTAGGAGTGGAATTGCTGGATCATATATACGGTAAGTGTATATTTACGTTTTAAAGAATTTGCCAAATTGTTGTCCAGAGTGGCCGAACCACGTTGGCGCCTTTCCCAGCACACCGTGAGCGCCGCGGTCGCCTCACACTCTTACCGTGATGCGGCGGGGTCGGTCGTTTCAGCTCTAGCCGTTCCAGTGAGTGGGACGTCTGCTCTGTGTTTTCCTTGGTCCTGTGTTAATTTGTCACCCATTCATCGCAGGCCACGTGGATTACCTCGGTTTTCTTATTTTCGTAAGCTTCACACTGACATTCGGAGGCCTACAGACGGAGGAGCGCCCGTCCCTTCCAGGCCTGGCCAATTCCTAGCGGGAGCAAAGGCTTGGCCGGGAGAACATCCTTCCCATGCAGAACGGCCAACCCCAATCCTGCGCCGCTGGCCACCCCGTTATCTAACTCCCGCTTGCCAGCCAATCTCCCTGCCCTGAATCATCCCAGGGCCCGGACCAGGCCACTGGAGAGCACCCTACAGCCCAGGCCCCAGGACGATTCACTGGGAAGTCCTCCACTGTCCAGCTTTGTCTGCGCCACGGAAAGCCCAATGCAGGCTCTGGGATCTCCAGGCCTCGGACCGCACTGGGCTGCCCACACGGCCCTGCCTGGCTGGCGTGCTCTATTTCCTCAGGAACGTGGGTGATGCATTCCTCTTGCGCTGGCATTAGCCTCTCTGCGTGGGCACCTCCGTGAATTAAAATCCCGTGGGTACACTGCAGAACAAAGCAGTATCTCATTGTGGTTTAATTTAAATTTTCCAGTTGACAATGATGTGGGTCATCTTTCTGTGTGTGTGCTGGCCACCCATGTATCTTCTCTTTGAAGTATCCGCTCAGCTCTCCTGGCCATTTAGAAAATGCATTGCTTTTCTTCTACTTGTTCCCTGATAAGAGTTTTTACATATAATGGTCACAGTCCTTTTTCAGATATATGTTTTCCAAATATTTTCTCTCAGTCTGTGGTTTGCCTTTTCAGTCTTTTAATTTTATTAATGGAGTTTTTCAACAAATAAAACTTTTGATTTTTATAAGCTCTTATTTACAAGAATTTTTTTTTTGCTTTGTGTTGTGTGTGTGTGCATGTGTGTATCTGTGTGCCTGTGTGTGTGCGTGCGTGTGTATTCCCTTTAAGAGGTATCTACCTAATCCAAGATCATAAAGGTTTTCTTCTACATAATTTTGGGAACTTTTTATGGCTTAACTCTTTTATTTAAGTCTATTATGATTCATTTGGGAATAATTTCTTTATGATATATGGTAAGGGTCTAAGTTCATTTTCCCCCATATTGTGTCAATTATTGAAGACTGTATTTTCTCATGGAATTATCTTGGTACCTTTGCCAAAAATCAATTGGCCATTTGAGCATGAGTCTATTTCTGCCTCCTCAACTGTGTTCCATTGACATTTATGTCTGTCCTTAGACCAACATCACATTGTTTTGTTTATTATTTCTTTGGAGTAAGTCTTAAATCATGTAGTGTAAGTCCTCCAGCTTTATTTATTTATTTATTTTCACAAAATTGTTTTGGAAATCCTAAGTCCTTTGAACTACATGTAAATTTTGAATTAGCTTCTTGATGTCTACAACATGCCTGCTGGGATTTGATTGAATTTAATTGACAATACAGATGAATTTGTGAAGAATTACTCTCTTAAAAAATATTAACCCAATCCATAAATACAATGTACCTTTCCTTTTATTTGGGTTTTTAAAATTTTTCTCAGGAATGTTTTGTGGCTTATAGTGTAGAGATTTTGACACATTTATTA